AGCTGCAGGACCTAGCCAACATGTACCAGCAGGAACAAGGAACAAGTACTTATCGGACTATATTCTGAAGACACTGAACAAGAAGACGGAAAACAAATTTGGATAAGAGAGAGTTTATTGATTTGGGAGCATTCTTCAAGGAGAGAGATTTAACACCCTGGTAAGGATCCTTGGAAATATGACTATAATGCTTCTATGACGGCTCTTAGAAGCTTGAAGAAAGTGGTGGCCCACACTAAGAGAAGTAGAAATGTCACAATTGCCATGGCAGGTGGTGAATGCAGGGAGCAAAATCCTCAGAGAAGTGGGCATGCTAGAGTGGCTATACCATGTAAGGCTGGAAACTGCACCAGATGACAGAATTCTGGTTCAAGTCCTCCATTTATCAAAGTGACGAAGAATTCTCTGGTGAAAGGGACACTAGCATCACTGAGAAACTCAGTGGTGGCTCTCCTCTGTAGATCATGGCTGATGATAAAAGATGCTGTCACTGAACGGGGTTCACCAATAGCAACAGGGGTAATAGAATCCTGAAACAATAGTGTCCAGGTTGCAGCACATAACCATCAGAAGGGTACAACTATCCAAATGAGTGGCAAGATCATGATGTCTGAGGATGGTTGATAGAATATGGCACCCTTAGTGGGCAAAATAGAAGCTAGCCAACAAGGGCATGATGAACGAAAAGAATGAAGGATGAAACACACAATGAAAGAAATCAAGGATGGATAACACAAGGCTGAAGCAGCAGCCTCAATAAAAAGCCATAGTATCTTACCCAATTTCCTGACTTGAGCCAGTTTACCAAACCAGAACCCATGGACTAAGAAGAGGCAGGAGTGCCAGGAGGAAGGACATGGTGAGAATATGTGGTAATGGCTTCCCCCAAGCCCACCCTACTCCTAGGCCTTCCCCAAAGGAATCTATGGCCATTCCCTTGGGAAACCATACACTGAGAAAAAGGGAATGCCCAAACATTTTCAGGATTGTTGAATACAATCATTATTGATACCCAGGAACCCACAATATTATTATGGCCCCTAGTAAGAGTAGAGGTACGTAGGAGCCAGATAATCAATGGAGTTTTTGCCAAGGTCTGGCATACAGTGAGTCCACTGAGCACATGGACCTATCTGGTGGTCATTTCCCCAGTTCCCCAATGTATAATTGGAATGGACATACTTGGTAGTACAGCACCCACATTGGTTCTTTGGATAAGAACTATCAAAGTGGGAAAGGCCAACAGGGTGCCTCTGAAATTGCACAGCCAAGATAGTAAATAAAAACATTACAGGGGAATGGTAGATATTTGTGCCATTTTGGGTTCCCATAATATCTCCATTTAATTCACCATACTTGCCCCTACAAAGGTCCAGCCATTCCTGGAGAGTAAACAATAGACTCCTGCAACTCAACCAAGTAATAACCCCAAGTGGAGCTGCTGTACCAGATGTGATATCTTTATAAGAGAAGATCAATATGCCCTCAGGTAACTGGTTTGAGGTGGATGACATGATGAATGTGTTCTTTCCCAACCTTATCGGAAAGTGTCCACATTCAATTGGAAAAAATAATAAAAATATTTACAGTCTCGTCCCAGGGCTTTGTTGTGTCTCCTCCCTTCAGTCATAATACAGTCCTAAGAGATTCGAGTTGTCTGGACATCCCACAGAACATTGCTGGCATTATGCTAATCAGATTGGATTAACAAGAATTGGTAAATTTATTGGAGGCTTTGGTGAGACATGTATACTCCAGAAGAGTAAGAAAAAGATTCCTATAACTTGTTGAGGCTCCAACAAATCAGTGAAGTTTAAGGATTTGGGGGTCCAGGGTATACGTTTTTGTGTCCTATTTAAGAAAGATTCATGTTTTCTTTTAAAATATTTATTTTACCTTCATATTTAGATCTATAATCCATCTGGAATTGATATTGTTTGTGAAATGTCTGTGAGGTACGAGGTCACTCTTCATTTCTTCTATAGTGTTAACCACTGATGGAGAAAAAAATTTGCCATGCCAAAACATGAGGATTATTTTAGGCTGATTATGTTTAAGAAAAAAAGACTCAGAAAGTTTTTCTTGTTACCTCCCCCTTAACTGCCTAAAAGAATTTAGATATGACAAGAGATTTTCACATACTGAGGTATATGGGGTAACTATTAGGGTTCATAACTGATTCGGCTTGAACTAAAAAGCCTGACTTATGGCCTATCAAACATACGTTGTACATCTGCTTAACCATTAAAGTAAAGAATGCACTCTCTTAAGATAAGAATGCATACTTTCCTTCCTACCTCCTATTGGTAATGCCTGGCTTAGTTCCTTTCCCGACATCAGGTTCATGTTGACCTGCTAATTTGCAACTAAATACCTCATCGAAACTTTGATGAAAATGTATCCTGGGTGTGTTTAATGGATGTTTTTTGTTCTAAAAAGATAAATAACAATAAAAAACAAGACTGTACAGAAAACCATGCTTCTCCGGAACTCTTTCTAAGACCTTCCCGAATTATAATCCTCATGCTGGCTCAAGTAAAGAGTGGTTATTTCTCTTATCTATAGAAGGGTTACTGGTTATTTTGCATCGACATTTCAACGGTCTGTAACAGGAACAGAGCTATCACCAAAGATAAAGAATACGGGCTAAGTGTGTTGGGGGAGACTTGGCCGGGCCTAGAGATCAGAGTCCTCTCTATGTCATGTTGTCTCTTCAGGGCACAGCAAACATTTGTTTAGCAAACATTTGCTTTTCCATCTCCATGTGAATTGCCTTCCTCCCCTCTGAAGTCCCAAACCACTACCCCAATATCCTATTTTGTCATTAGCTAAAGATGGTATTTAAGGTGGTGGCTTCAGCCATTTTGGCGAGTTACTCAGTTTTCCTGGGTCTTTCCCGTGTACACATGTTATTAAACTGATTTTCTTCTGTTCATCTGTCTCCTGTCAAATTAATTCTTAGGCCAGCCAGAAGAATCAAGAAGTGTGGAGGAAAATTTCTTCATCCCCTACATCAATGTCCCCAGGATCATTTATCGCAAAAAAAAAAATTCCTTCCTCCATTGCTCTGTAGTATCACTTTTGAAAAATCAAATTATCTTATATGTGTAGATCTTTTTTAGGTCTCTCAATTTTGACACGTTTTCCTATTTTCCGTCCTTGTGCCAACAGAACACCGACTTACTAACAATGACTTTATAATGCATCTTGACATCTGGTAGCGCTTTGTTCTTCTTCAAAATTGCCTTGGCTATTGTCAGCCTTTGCATTTCCATATAGATTTTAGAATCTATATCAATTTCCAGTCAGAAAAATCTTCTGGGACGTTATTAAAATTGCATTGAAGCTATAGATCAACTTTGGGAGAAATGACATCTTAACAATCCATGAACATGGTATATTATCCTACATTTATTTACGACTTATTTTAATATCTGTCAATAATGTTTTGTAGTCAATAATGTTTTGTATCACCTCTTTTGATAGATTTCTTACTAGGTATTTGATGACTTTTGGTGCTATTATAATTATCTATTTTATATATGTCATTTTCTATTTATTTTCTGGAATAAAACTATACTATTAAATTTTATATATAGACATTGCATCCAGTGACCTTATTAAATTCACTTATTAATTCAAATAGTTTGCCAATAGATTCTCTCAGATTTTCAATGTACACAATTGTGTCATTTGTGAATAATGACAGTGTTATTTCTTTCTTTCCAATCCATATGCCTTTTCTTTTCCTCTTTGATTGCATTGGTTAGAACATTCAATATCATTTTGAAAATAAGTGCTAACAGCAAATATGTCTTTGTTTCATTCCTGATGTCAGGGAGGAAACATTCAATAATTTACCATAAAATGTAAACAGCATTTTTTTTTTGTAGATGCCCTTTATCAGATCAAGGATGTTCCCTCTATTCCTATTTTGCTGAGAATGAATGGATAGATGAATGGATGTTTAGTTTTTATCAAATGCTTTTACTGCAACTACTGAGATGATCATGATTTTTCTCCCTTTTTTCTGTTATTTTGGTGAATTACATTGATTTTTTTCCCCAGTAAACACCCATCCTTCCATTTCTGAAATAAGCCCCACTTAGTCATGATTATGCTTTTTATACACCACTGATTCAATTTTCTAATTTTTTGTTTAGGATTTTTGCATCTATGTTTATAACAGAGATTGGTAAACCAGTCTTTTAAAGTGACATTTTCTTCTCATTACAGAACGCTTTTGAAAACCAGAAATTATAAATCAGAAGTGTACTCTGGGTGTTTACTTTGTAGTGTGCAGGATGTAGAATGGATTAGTGCAGGAGGTGGGTGGTGAAGGATTAGGAGGCTACTGGAGTATCAAGAGAAGAGTTTGGACCAGTTTGGTACAAATGGAAATGAAAAAGAAGGTTAGACCCTCCCCCCAACCCCCAGTATTTAGCTAACGATTAGATGAAAGTGCAACATTACGAAACAGACAAGTTAGGAGAAGTTGATTTGAGCTTGGAGAAGAGTAAAAATAATTAGTTGACTTGGGGTGAAATTCTTCATCATAATTATCACCATCATTAGGATCCATACATATGAACGACTGCAATTTAAGAAATGCATGGAATTACGTAACTAGTCACTATGTTAATGTCTTTAATGAGAAAGTTTCATTACGTTGCTTTGGAGCTAATTTTTAAAATAATTTTCATTGACAATCAGAAAATGTAGATAATCTCGTATTCGTTGAACACCATAAAATGGGATCACACTTTACAGCCTTTTCATACAGCATTTCTATACAGATTGCGCTATTCCTGTTCTGACCACCAGGGGGCGACCAGACGCCCACGTCGCATCCCAGGCCATCCCTCGGTTTTCTAGGCAGGCGCGGCTCCCGGGAGCGCGCATGCCCTGGGGCGCGCGCCGCTGGCAGGCGCCGCCGCCGGGCACGTCGGTTAGCTGCCGTACGCTGCTGTGCGTCGGCCCCGACCCTGAGAGCCGGACCCGACCCTGAGAGCCGGACCCATGTGGAAACTGCTGCCCGCCGCGGGCCCGGCCCGAGGTAAGGGCGGAAGGGAGGGGTGCGGGGACGCTTTTCCGGGAGCAGCTGCAGTGGACAGAGGGCTGGCCGCGCGGCCTGCCGCGGCGTCCCCGTGCCCGCCGCAGGGCCCGG